GGTGTGATTACAGCTCATTGTAACCTCTCCCTCATGGGCTCAAGTGATCGTCCCTCCTCAGCCTCCCCCGAGTAGCTGAGACTACAGATGCATGCCACAATGCCTGGCTATTTATTTTTTGTAGAGGCAGGGTCTTGCTATGTTGCCCAGGCTGGTCTCAAACTCCTAGGCTCACACTATCCATTCACCTCAGCCTCCTGGGATTAAAGGAATGAGCCACCGTGCCCAGCCTGCTGATTTTTTAATAGTGCAAAAGTAAAAAACATTGACTAGTGATTGCATGTGAACATATGTGAAATGTATTATATTGAAGGAATTTATATGTCTTTGCACAAATATTCCAGGCAGCAGTCTAAATTCTTCTTGTCATTCTCATTACTTTTCAAGTGAAATTGCTCTTGGTTTCGTATCTCTTTATTATTTCCAGAGGTTGAACTGAGTGACAAATGCTTTCTTAAACCCAAATCTCTCTTTGGATGATAACACAAGGTATGATATTTTGTGTAAAAAATTTCTGTCATCTATCTTTGGAACTCTTTTAAAAATTTAGATCTATTAAACATATTCCAATATAGTTTCTGAATATCTAGTTTACAGAAATTTCTCAGATGATTTTTGTATTATTCCATTCCACTCCAGTTGAGAATCACTACCCTGGGACTGCAGATGAATGTGGCATCCTTTCAGGAATATTTGCATTGTAAAGAGGATCACCTGATGGGTGCAGCGCCTCATGTAGGGGATTAATTGTGGAGGAAGAAACTTGAGGCACCAAGGGCTGTGTCTTGGATGAGGGTGAAGGAAAATAGCCCTTATGTTATCTCTCAGCAGTAGCGATATTATGAATGAAGGATCAACTTCAGGGGCTTGGAGTTTATCATAATGCCTCACCTGTTTGCCTAATGCCTAAAATACCACAAAGCTAATTTCTATTGGGCTTAGTCTCTCCTAATGGATACAAATGGGTTAGTGTGTTATCATTTTTTTTTTTTTTTTTTTTTTTTGGAGACGGAGTTTCGCTCTTGTTACCCAGGCTGGAGTGCAATGGCACAATCTCGGCTCACCGCAACCTCCGCTTCCTGGGTTCAAGCAATTCTCCTGCCTCAGCCTCCTGAGTAGCTGGGATTACAGGCACACGCCACCATGCCCAGCTAATTTTTTGTAGTTTTAGTAGAGACGGGGTTTCACCATGTTGACCAGGATGGTCTCGATCTCTTGACCTCGTGATCCACCCGCCTCTGCCTCCCAAAGTGCTGGGATTACAAGCGTAAGCCACCGCTCCCGGCCCATTTTTTTTTTTTTAATGGAGTCTCACTCTGTTGCCCAGGCTGGAGTGCAGTGGTGTGATCTCGGCTCACTGCAGCCTCTGCTTGCATCCCAGATTCAAGCACTTCTCTGCCTCAGACTCCCAAGTAGCTGGGATTACAGGCGCCCGCCATCATGCCTGGCTAATTTTTGCATTTTTAGTAGAGACGGGGTTTCATCATCTTGGCCAGGCTAATCTTGAACTCCTGACCTCATGATCCACCTGCCTCAGCCTCCCAAAGTGCTAGGTTTACAGGCGTGAGCCACCTCGCTTGGCCTATCTTTTTCAGGTAACACAACCACATTCCAACATATTTTCTGAGAATACAATGCCTTAACCCACTAAATTAGTCTAGTGGGAATTTCAGCACTGTTGCAGGCTCACAGGGATCATATTTGTGGCCTGATATACCTTGAATTACGCTGAACAGGTAATGTTTGTCTAGGTAGGGCCCAGTCTCTTCATTTACTAATTAGCTGCCCAGTGTGCTATACTATGTGTAATATGATAAATATATTATCACCATGCTGTAGTGTAGCAAGTCTGCACTCAAAATGCAGCAGGGGCCATAAGGGTATACTTAGGACCATCCAGGTTAATTGTGTGCATTCCTTATGTCTTCCAACTTCCTAACCTCTTTAACCTCAACTTTAGACTGTATTTTAAAAAATCCCAGGTAACCCAAATATGAGTGATGTGGTAGGCTGAATACTGGTCCCCATGCAACATCCATGTCCTAATCCCCAAACCTTTGAATATATTATGTTACATGGCAAAGGGGAATAAAGGTCACTAATCAATGGACCTTAAATTAGAAAGGCTATCCAAGTGGGCCAATATAATCACAAGGGTCTTAAAAGTGAATTAGGGAGTCAGAGGAAGAACTGCGATGACAAAAGCAGGTCAGAGAGACACCACAGGGCTGGCTTTGCAGATGGAGGAAGGGGTACCCTAGCCAGGGGATCTGGGAAGCCTCTACAAAAAGGAAATAGTAAGAAAATGGATTATCCTTTGGAGCCTCCAGAAAGGCACACAGCCCTGCCAACACCTTGATTTTAGCCCAGTGAGGTATGTGTCAAACTTCGGCACTCTAAGGAGACAGTAAGTTTGTGCTCTTTTAAACCACAAACTTTGCGATAATTTGTTGTAGCAGCAATGTAAAATGAGTAGAGGTGGGAACTGCATTTGTGGTTCTTCATAATCAAACACAATTCTCCTAACCATTTCTGTATAAAACCAGGATTTGGACATAATTCCCACATAATTTCTCTTTCTTGGAGTAGAAAGCATTTACAACTGAGTTTTGAATGGCTCACACTCTTAACTGCTTTAAATTATGTCACATTCAATTATGTTGCTTCTAATGACTTGCAACTTGGCTATTTTTAAAAGTCCTAAACACAGAAGATTATTTTTGTTCAAATATCAACTTTAGATTTTAGTTTTCCTAAACAGTATTGTTTTAAAGAAGGTTTATATTACTGATTTCTGTAAAGTCACTTGCAGTCATATAAAAGCAAACTTTTTCATTAGAAACTGTGCTTCATTGAGGTTTTAGAGTTTTTCCTCTGTCTGTCCTAATGGTAATTGCCCAATTGACCCTTACCATTTAGCTCATTTGAGGCTATCTCCTTTCTGCTCACTCTTTTCTTGGGCTTAATCCTGTGGTGTCAGCAGCCTAACATGGGCAATATGTATTCTGGGCTTCATTATTGAAACTCATGGCACCATTTCATGATAGAGAGGGTAAATGGTTAAACCGGCAAAACTAACTGCTCACAAACTTGATGTGACACCTTTAGCCGTTTCAGGACTCACTGCCATATACAAGACATAGAGTGACAAACAATTCATACATTCAACAAAATATTTGCCAAGGCTTCTGGGTGTCAAATGATGGGGATAAGAGCACTGAATAAACAAATATTCTTGGCCGGGCGCGGTGGCTCAGGTCTGTAATCTCAGTACTTTGGGAAGCTGAGGCGGGCGGATCACGTGTCACGAGGTCAGGAGATGGAGACTATCCTGGCCAACATGGTGAAATCGCGTCTCTACTAAAAATTAGCCGGGCATGGTGGCGCACACCTGTAGTCCCAGCTATTCAGGAGACTGAGGCAGGAGAATCGTTTGAACCCGGGAGGCAGAGGTTGCAGTGAGCCGAGATCGCACCACTGCACTCCAGCCTGGGCAACAGAGCGAAACTCCGTCTCTGTCTCTAAATAAATAAATAAATAAATAAATAAATAAAATAAAATTCTTGCCCTCATCCTGCTGTTCTTCTGAAACTTTCTTGCTCCCTGGCTTTGGAGGTTTGGGAATTGAAGAAAATAAAGTAAAAAAGATAATAAAAAACAACCAACGAGTTAGGAAAGGTTTCTTCTAGGTCTAGATATCCTACTCTCTTCTTCCCTGCAAGATTTATGTTGATGGAACAACAATGCAAAATAAAAAAATTCCTGAGATAATTCTAAAAAGAGGGCAGAAAAAACGCAGTAGACTTCATTAAGGAATGTATAAAATGGGTAGCACCTGGAGTATTCAGTGGCAAAATCTTGGATAATGTAATACATACAACATACAGTACTGGTCTAGTAAGCACTGGCGGAGACTGAAGCGGAATTGTCCAGGGAATCTCACAAAAACGGAAATGAAGAGGTCTCAGCAACTCTAGGGGCCCTGGCCGGATGGAATACAGATGGACACACCTTTTCTAACACAGTAACAATAGTTTATACATCAGCATTACCTATCTTTTGTTTCAGTTGATAAATATCCTACTGTAATCCATTCATTCACCCTTTGCTTGTTCATTGTTGAAACAAATTCTCCCTGGAATAAAATCCTAGTAACCATACACATCCTATCAGGAGAAACTTCCTTACTGCAGGGATGGTATTGAAGTACAGAGAGGAGGCAGTCCCTTCTTTAGCTCTGGCAGAAACCTGGCTGGGGAGGAAACCTTCCCCCAAGGTAGGTGACCCGGCTAAGTCCACTACAGCTGCAGGAGGGACTGCCATCTCCTGGAGGTAAAGAGGGCGGAGACCCACCTCCTGGAATGTGTCCCTGTGGTCTCTAGATGACGTCTTCCTCTAATAAGGACAATTCTGCCAAAGGAATGGGATGCTTCGTCACGGGCTGAATTACGGTGTGTACTCCCAGCCTACCACCTATATACAATTCCTCAAATTAGGAAAGCGGGGAGATTTAATAAAGACATAGCACGTAAAGTGTAGGAACACTATTTGTATGGCATTGCGAGACGAAGGCCGAGTTAACAAGTAAAGAGCAAAGTAGTTAATTCCAAGTCTGTTTACCCAGCACAACATCAGTGCGGAATGTCAGTGTTTAAAAAAATCTCTCAACCTTTATCTAAAAAGATAGGGCTACATAACCATCGGTGTGTTTTTTTTTTCGGTAGAGGTCTAGGCAGCCGCAGGGGCAGTGGACGCCTTGACAGCTGCCCGTCTCGCGGCCCCCCGGCGGCGTGCCCGTGTGGCTGCGTGCGCGCGGACGGGGCGGGGCTGAGGAGGGGCGTGCGCGCGCGCGGATGGGGCGGGGCGGGGCTCGGAGGGCGGGCGCGCGCGGGGCCATCTGGTCGGCAGGGGGCGCTGCGCACCCATGGCGCGCTCTGGCTGCCCCCGGGTGCTGTCCGCCGCGGTTCGATTGGAGCAGCCGCCGAAGAGCGCTTGGCGCCATTTTGAAGCGGAGAGGAGGAGGAACGGCCGGGCTGGCTGCGGAAGGGGAGGGGGGGAGAAGGCGATTGGATGCGGCGGCGGCGGTGGATCCCGGAGAGCCGCGGAGTGAGAGGAGTAGCGAGTCGGGCACCCGGAGGTAGGAAACAATTCAGTTAACGGAAAGAAAATGTCTCTCCTCTCAGGCCGCGGCGCTCCATTTTTCAGCGGCCGCCACCGTCGCTCTGTGTGTGTGTGCGTGTGTGTGTGTGTATATGTGTGTGTTTCTGTGTGTGTGTGTGTCTCTGTGGCGGGGCTGAAGCGCCGCCCGCCGGGCTGCTAGGCGCGACTCGCCTCCCGGCATCGGGGGCTGCAGCGGGCGGCGGCCGGGGGCGGGGGTCTCGGGGTGCGGGCCGGGCTGAGCGGTGGGGGTGGGGAGGGCCCCGCGCCGGCTCGCGCCTCCACGCCGCGGGCTCTGCGGCAGCCTCTGGAAATTAAACTTGCCGCCCTGATCCCGGCCGGGGCGGCGGCGGCGGGCGGTGACCTTGCGCGCGGGCGGGGGTCCCGGGGCTGACCGGCCGCCCGCGCCCTCTCGCCGCCGCCGCCGCGCCCCTCCCCCCGCGCCCCGGCCGGGCGGCCGGCGGCTGTTTCCCGGGCGGCAGGCGGGCGGCGCGGTGCTCCTGTTGAATCCTCCCGCGGGCGGGCTTCTCCCCCTTCCGGGCGAGGGACGGGCGGGGAACGTGGGTCGGGACCGCGGGCGCCCTCGCCCCCGCCGCCTGGTCCCCGCGCGCCGCCCGGCCTCCGCTCTGGGCCAGGGAACGGGATGAGCGTGACATTTTTACACTGTTCCTCGCCGCTCGCCGCGCCGCCCTGAGCGGGTGCTCCGGGAACCTGAGGACCCAGTTGAGGAAGAGCTCAGCGCTGGCGTGGAGGGACTCCTCCCAGGCGACAACTGGGTTCTAGCTTTCCTTTCGGAAGGAACGGCGGGGAAAATGGTGTGCAATTGTGACTCGTTAATGTTTTTTCACTGTTATTTTATTGCCACTTTAAAAGTTTCGGTTTAGAGAAAAACCTTGTTTGCTGCTGTTGCTGGTGCTGCTGTTGGTTTTTGGTAGAGACGTGAAAGCTAACTCTAAGTAGCTCGACAGTTATTTGGAGGAATGACTGAACCCTGAAACGCCTCCCTCGTCTTCGGAACTGCAGGCTGCTGCGTTCCTTGCCGCGGACTGGGTGAGCTCCGGGAAGGGTTGAAAGAGCAGCTACCCACCCACTCCACTCGCGTCTTCTACATCCTCTCTTCCCTAGCAAGGGTCAACCCTTTTTTATGTCGAAGAAAGTGCTTCTCGTACTTTGTTACGAGGTGATGACGGGCAGTGGTGCCCCGACTGATCCTACCTTGTTGATGAAATAGTTTCAGAAACTTTGGATATAGCTTTAACTTAGAGGGTTGGTCTGCGCTGTGCAGAGGGTTGGATAATCCTGTATCATCCTAATAAACTTTAAAAACTAAAGTTGTGTTTACATACAGGAGGCGAGCTGTAAATAAATTGTAATTACCTAATACTTGAATGGCAATAAGTCATTGTTCTCGGTTAACACATCCAGACGGAGTTCCCAGACAGAATGTTTTTTAACTCCTGTAGTGGTCAGGTAAAGTAGTTAAAAACCACAGACATGCACTTGAAAGACAGCTCTTTATGCAGCATACATGTAAGAGATGTTTCCATCTTTAGGGACAATAAATATTCACTGGTGTATGCAGGTCAGTTCGTGGAACAATTAATCTTGTATCTCATGGTGATAGCGGAAAACCTAATTAAAATGTATATAGTGGTGAATATGTAGGTGAAAGTTACATGGGATCTTTTATGTTAAGATAGATTTATTCTCAGAAACCTAACTGTAAAACACATCTTAAGAGCATTATACATTTACAAACATATAAAAAATGCACTTTGGACTTTATAAAAATTACCAGAATAGTGACTTTTTCCTCTTTTTTCTGATGGTTTTAAAAATTGTCCTCTTCTCAGGTGGCTTTTACTTCAAGGTGTATTTTAAATGGGAAGGTATGTTTGTCTTGGCCTTATTTTATTTTATTTTTTTTCCTTTTCTCCTTGTTTTGGTTGAGTCTGATTTTACTGCAGCTTTTGTTACTTTTGTCGCCTTTATTCTCTCAGGTTATGTCTCTCCCCCTCTAATTCCCCTCCCCCCCCTCAAATTAGAGAGACATGTCATGATAGTGATTCTCGTCATGAGATGTTTGTATTAAGCTTATTTGTAATAAGGTTCTACTGAGCTGGCTGTTGGATGAAAGTTGTTTAAATTGTTCTGCAGCTTTGTTTAACAAAGTAACATTTTGAGGAGTAGGCTTTATCAATAATTTGTTAGGCCTAAGATAAAGTGATACCCTGTATTAGACAGGCTTGCCCTGGAGAAGAATGCAATGGCAGAAAATACTCAAAACTGTGGGGAAGGAATATTTTGGGACGTTGTATTCTTTCTGCTTATTTCTCTTGGAAAATTTAGAGACTGCCTTAGAACTAACAGGAGTAGTGCTCACTGTGATTTGGCTTATGGACTCTTGAATGACATGGACTGTATATAACTTATATTAGAAAAGAATACACTTGTGTTTCCTTTGTTAGTGTTAAAGAGCAACAAGAAAACTTAACGGTGATCTCCAACTCACTTATACATGAGAAATCAGGTTCAGATTGTAATTTCATTGATTTATCTAAGGTCACAGTCATATTCACATGGTAGAATTCGGACAGCCCTTAGAAATCCTGGAAGCTTAGAAGTTTTCCCATTGTCTTTTTTTGTTTTATTCAGGATTTAGCAATATTTATTAAGTAAAATTCAGGGTAGCATATTACCCTCCATTCCCTTCCCACCTTTTCATTCATTTAACCAAGAATAAAGTTTTACGGTTGGCCATCTGTTTCAGCGTCTGGTTTTTAATAATTTTTGTTCGGGATTCAGTCTGTTTAGCTTGTCTCAGAAGATAACCTCTTTTATGTTTCTGTCTCCTGGAGCTGTCTGCTCTTTCATTATATAATTACTTGACATGGCATTTATTTATTCTTTGTGCAACTTCTAGGTGTAATTTGGAAAAGTTAGTATTGACTTTTGTTACAAGATATAGTGCGTGTATGAGTGTGTATGTATTTTTTAATTTTTAAACTAAGTTTGCTATGCAAGTCATCTGTCACTTCCAATTACAATAGGCACTTTATTTGTTTTTTGTATTCCTGTTCGGGAATGTTAAAAATTCCAAAAATACTTAGTTTAAAAATAAACCCAGTGATTTCTCTGAGAGTGTATTTACTTTTTAAGCTTTCGAAGCTGCCAAATTGTTCACAATTCTGACTCCTTGGAGAGTAGAGGTCAGCCCTTTCCTCACACTATTCTGTTATAAGCCACCTGATTATAACCATTTCCTCCTATTACTTGAGAAAGGTTTTAGAATCCTTTCATGCTGCTGATAAAAAAAAAAGGTTTTAGAATCCTTTCTCATTAATTAGTTTAGAATTAAGAATAAATCTGCTGTGTTGAGACTGTAATTGTTTTAGCTGGCATGAGTGAGAATATAATAATAAAAGTTAGATGAATAAAATTTAGTTGTTCAAATTTTAAAGCCATTGAGATTTAGAAAATATCCATAATTGGTATTTCTAATAGACAATAATAAATAGTAATTGAAAATACTTGGTTTAGCTGTGTAAAACTTAAAAACTAACAGGTTACAACAAAGCCACAGCTCATATGAAGAAGAAAAAAAAAAACAACTAATAGGCGTGAGGGAAAGACTGATTAAAGAAAGAAACTATTTTGAGGCATCTTTATAAGGCCTAAAAGTATTCTACTGGCCTGCCGCCCTGTCTTTTGACAGATAATGCTCTGACCTGATTCCATTAAAATGAACAGATACTAAGCTTCCATATACATGCAGTGCCAGGGATGATGCAGTAAACAGGACTGAGACACTGTGTCCTGTAGAAGTATAGAGTAGTAGTTGGCCACCTGCAGCAAGGTGATGAGAGCTGAGACAGACCAGAGCAGTAGGATCTCTGCTGTTACTTAGTTCTGGAAGGAGCAGGCTTTCCTTCCTTTTTAGTGACAGTTGAGGTTCTCTTCTTTATGTGAGAGAGTGAAATTAGCCAAGATTAGATCCCATAAGGAGAAGGAGGGATATTATAACCAAGACCATTGTCTTTCTGTAGAAGAGAATGGTTAGGGACCTGAAAGAAAATGAAAGCTTGTGGTTCCTTAGGTAAGATAGGATTCTTTCTCTCTTCTTTCACCTCAGAGGTGATTTTAGGGAAGTAATTGAGGAGATTTTGAAGGAAAGCTCCATATCTCCAAAATATACCCCTTAGTAGCTGAAATTCTACCAGGTAATTTCAGCTAGCTTTCAGATATGGAATGGTTTGGGTTGGGTGGGGTGTGAGGGTGAGAGTTGCAGGGACAAGAGTGGGGGTTAAGGGTAAGGGAATAGAGTACTTAAAGAATTGTGTATTTTAAGTTAAAAGTTATACAGATCTATGGTAAAAAATATTTTAATGGTACATGGAGTAAAAAATGTTACTTTTCTCCTCCTCCCACAGGTAACCCACTGTTAACAGTTTCTCAAAAGTTTACTTTAACAATAATTATAGAAAGAGTATTGTTACACTGTTGTACTGTGATTTACTATTTTATTTTATTTATATATTTATTTTTGAGACAGAGTCTCTGTTGCCAGGCGCCAGGCTGGAGTGCAGTGGTGCCATCTCGGCTCACTGCAACCTCCACCTCCCGGGTTCAAGCAGTTCTCCTGCCTCAGCCTCCGGGGTAGCTGGGACTACAGGTGCACGGCACCATGCCCAGCTAATTTTTTTTGTATTTTTAGTGGAGACGGCCAAATAGTAAATTGGTCAGGATGGTCTCGATCTCTTGACCTCGTAATCTGCCAGCCTCGGCCTTCCAAAGTGCTGGGATTACAGACTTGAGCCACTGCGCCCGGCCAATTTACTGTTTTATTTGTTTATTTTCATTATCATTATTTTTTGAGATGGAGTCTTGCTTTGTTGCCCAGGCTGGAGTGCAGTGGTGTGATCTTGGCTCACCACAACCTCCGCCTCCTGGGTTCAAGCGATTCTCCTGCCTCAGCCTCCTGAGTAGCTGGGACTATAAATGTGTGCCACCATGCCTGGCTAATTTTTGTATTTCTAGTAGAGATGGGGTTTCACTGTGTTGGCCAGACTGGCCTCGAACTCTTGACCTCATTATCTGCTTGCTTCAGCCTCCCAAAATGCTGGGATTACAGGTGTGAGACACTGGGCTTGGCCTACTATTTTATTTTTTAACTGCAGTTTACTTTTTTCCTTAATTAAGTCACGATCTCTTTTCATACTGGCACATACAGATAAACATAATTGAGAAATGATTAGAATATTTTATTATAATTTTTTTCTGACTCCTGTTGAGTAATATTATGTTGTAACAATTTATGTTAACCAACAGTGTGTGAGAATGTCTGTGACATCTGTTTATCAACATTGAACTTTAAAAAACTATATTGCCAATTTGATATGTGAAGTTTATCTTATTTTGGGTTTATATTTCTTTGTGAGTGAAGGCAAACATTTGTTTATATGCTTATTAGAGGGAGGTCATTTGCAACATATTCTTTAATCAAGTGGTTTAATGGTAGTTTAATTTACTTGCTGCTCCCACCCCTTACCTTGACCCTTACCTAAGAGCTGAGATGGTCTGAGAGTGGTGGGACTTTTAGGAGAGGAAAAAGATTTTGGGGCTTGTGGCAGCTTGACGGGGAGCAGTGCTGTGAATGGAGAGGCTGCAGTGCCAGGCTTTGAACAACTTTGGGTAAGTATGAGAGAGTATTGAAAGCCCTTGACTTGGTGTTAACATAAGGTAGAAGAGAAGCAGAAGCGACAGACAGGAAGGGAGGTTTGAGAGTCGGGGCAAATACATTTTGCATAGAGTCAGCCCTGCTTTGTACCATCTGCTTATCCTGTCTCATCACTCCTCCCTCAGACCTTCAACTATCATTTCATTTTTATTCATACTGTCATTTGGTTTTCTTCTCTTTTCCTGTCAGGCATGGCAGCCTGGACCTGGGTGTTTCAGTTGCTGCCGAGATGAGATGCTTAGTTTTTGTTTTTCTTTTTTCTGAGATGGAGTTTCGTTCTTGTTGCCCAGGCTGGAGTGCAGTGATGTGATCT